CGAAAACAGTCAATGGGTGCCGAAGCCAACATTTACCCTATCTTTATTAAGGAGACTTTCAGCCGTTGGCTGGCTCATCTCCGACCTACCCAGGATGGTACAGGCATAGAAAGCTCTCAATTAAAATGTGAAGGTACTTCAAAGAACACTAAGTTGAGCGCAGGCAAAAATCTAATATGCTTTAAACAATAAGCATGAAATGCCATGTAGTAGTATACAAATGGTATTTTTAGGCAATTAAAACAGTTTTTTTTGTCGCGGATTAGTATTTGAAGTCGCGGATTTCTTTTGAGAAATCGCGGATTTCGCGGATCAAATTTAGAAAATATTGTAACAGCCCTGTATTTCGTGTAAATTTAAGCGCAATATCGCATAAATTAGCAATATTGTATGCAAGCTTGTAAACGATTTCGCTGTTTATGCCAAGTATAGCTCCAAATTAAACGAAGGGAGATTTTACGCGATAGTTTAAATTCAGATTTTTTTCTGTTTGGAAAAACCTGAAAAACCGGGAATTCGCAGTGAATTTATTTTTTCCTGAAAATACCTGGTAGTATCTGAGAATTTTAAAATAATAACATTTAATATTCTTAGTTATTTTCATTCACACATTGAACTTTATAGATCCAGACATTTTTAAAATTCAAGGGCTTCAAATGATTTTTTTTTGGTTCTAGAATATCCATATTTCCCACAAATTTTATAAATTCTGAACTGAAACTTCAAGAAATTTTCAAGAATCTGGAGACAAACTCCTTGCACAGTTTTATGGCTCATGGGGCCTCCCTTAGTTCAGTCGGTAAAGGCGCAATTACAAAGCAAGACCATGCTGGAGGTGGCTGGGTTCGATTCCCGGTCCGGTCTAGGAATTTTTCGGGTTGGAAAATTTCTCGACTTCCCTGGGCATAGAAGTATAATTGGACTTGCCACACAATCATATCAATGCAAAAATGGTACAGGCATCGAAAGCTCTCAATTAATAACTGTGGAAGTGCATCTAAAACACTAAGTTGAGAGCACGCAATAAGCTAATATGCGATATGCACTAAGCTTGAAATGCGAAGAAGAAGAAGGAATTTTATTATAATTTTTTAAGGACCTCTTTCCACGGGAGTTCTGGGAAAAAAATCTATGAGAAAACATCAACTGTAATCTGCTTTCATGGTACTTCTGAGGAATTTTAGGCTTCATGTGAATACTAAGCCTAAGGTAGTAAACTCCAAGTGAACTTTCATGAGAAAGCTCCGTTGAATATTGAAAGGACTATTCTGGTGTTCCCAAAATATTCCTGAATTTAATTAAACTGCCTTGAAGTTCTTGTGTAGTTTGAGAAACTAACCTGATGCTCGCAATACTTTTCATCATTTTTTTAACTTCTCTAAACTTTTTCGGACTTCCTAAAGTTTCCACAATTTTCCTAACGATCATGAATCTTCTCTAAAGTGTTAACAATTCACTGAATTTCTCGAAACTTTTTTTAAAATTTAAGTAATTTCCCTGCTCTGGAATATCTCTGCTCTGAGGATATCTGTTCTTTCCTGAAGCTTTTTTTTTGCTTAGAGCTTTATTAGCGAGATCGACATCTTTCTCGAAGCTCTCGAAACTTCTCTAAAGTGTTTGCAGTTCTCATGAAGCTCGTTGTACTACCATGAATTTAATTGAACTGTGAAAACTTCAATAATTTTCTTAACATCTCTAAAGTTCTCTGAAAGTCTGGGAACTTCTAATTTTGTGAAATGAATGGAACTGAACTCCCCTGAAATTTCATTTGTTTTCGGAGCTATACTAAACTTATTTGAAATGCTCCGGAAATGTCCATAAAAGTTCCTGAAATTCACGGATCTTCCCTTAAGTTTCATAGACTTTTATGAAGTTCTCAAAGTTGTCTCTGTATTTCTGTGAAATTTTCGAAGTTATTCTGAAATCTCAGGAACCTCTTTAGGCTTCCGCAGCAAAATAATTAATACAGTTCTTTGATTTTCACTGAAGTTCTCAAGATTAATCTGAAGTTTAAATTATCGAAACTAATTCATAACTTCTTCAATAGTCTAGAGTAAACTGCCCAAAATATTTCTCAATTTCCTTAAAATTCTCTAGACTTATTTTTTTTTTAAAGAACCCACCATTTTACTGGAATTGATTAAATTGCCTTTAAGTTCTACAATTTTCCTTAAATTTTATAAAGTTTATAAACGATTACGGAACTAATCACTAATTTTTCCTGCAAGAAATTTTCTATGCTTACCTTAATTTCTCTAAATTGATCAAATGTTCCGATAAATTTTTTGACATATATTTATAATTCCATGAAGCTTTTAAAGTTTTCGGATCAATCATAGAATTCTCGGAATATCCCATAATTCTTAGTAAGTCTTGTAAGTCGCTGCAAATTTCTTGTTAATGTTAATGTGATTTTTCTGATGTTATCTGACCGTCCTCGAAACATTCGGAACTTCACTGAATATAATGAAACAATCTAAAAATATCTAAATTTCTTAGAAGTTCTCTGGAATTTCTTGAAAATATCGGTGCTTGCTGAAAGTTCTCGCCTTTTTTTAAATTAATGGAACTTCGTTGATGTTCTTTAATCAACTTAGCTAAAGTTTCGAATTTCCTTCAGATATGGAAATTTTCATGATATATGGGAAGGAGGGGCATAGTGAGCATCCCGCACTTTGGCTCTGGATCTCCAGCTGCATGAAACAAATCAACTGGCAGTAAGTTCAATATCATTATGATTAGGAAATTTGGTTGGTGGTAGCCAGTGCTGCACAATTTCGACAATACACGGTGATACTCAAAATTCTGCTTTGGTCACTCGTTTGAGCGAACAGTCATCGTCAAGGCAAACCATCCCAAGTAACATTGCAGGTTTTATCGCGGTTTTATAGCATTCTACAAGTGTAAATCATGGTCTACAGAACCCTCATAAAACCAAAATTGTTGCTTGGTATGTCAATTGTCAGTGGCATTTTTGTCAGTGACGAACATGTGCTGATTTGTTTATTAGCTAAATTTAAAATGAAATTAAATGGCTTGAGGAAAACAATTACATGGAGCCATTAAAGTGAACAAGCATCTACTTCCTGAACAGCTTGGATAACAATAATGTGACTCAGAATGCAAGAAATTACCCTTTCTGTTACCAGGTGAATCTTTGTCATTGACGAAAAAATAAATGAGATTTTGACTAAGTTTTTTTTGAGGATCAAGTCTATCATTGACTATGTGAAAAACAATTTTGTGAATATCGCTCAAAAGTCTGTCAATGACAATGACAAATCTCAGCACTGGTGGTAGCATCAATACCACCAATAAATTTGTTCCAAACGGCCGGAAGTCCAAGCTGGTGCACGAGATGCTCACTATGCCCCACCTGTTCACTATGCCCCTCTTACCCCTAACACCCTTGAAATACTCTCACATTTTCCGGATTTTCATATAATTTTTATTGCGTTCCAGAAATGTTCTCTAAGCAAGCCGAAGTTTCTGTAAAGCCGTTGGTTCCCGGTTCATGAGTTGATGGGTCGATAGGTGTGAGAGCTGCCTTCCTGGCGTCGGTAGCATTGATGCTCAGCACGGAAAACAAGATCGACGGGAAACAGCTGGTTACATTTCGATTCCTTGAGTTTGAGTCTGCACTACTAGACTTATAATGCGTAATTGAAAAGTATTCAAATCAATTATCAAAAATCAACAAATATATTAAGGCTTTGTAGATTTTGTTCCCATCTTATGTACCTGCCAGCACCATATTTGACGCGCTCCTAATGATGACGCACTAGTCTATTTTTGATCGTATCCCAATTTTGACATGATATTTTTAAAAACCTTGGTACACCATCATCCCTAGAGCACTGGAACTAATATTTGCAGAAGTAACATTTCAAAAATAACGATTGGAAATAGTCGAAAATTATTGAGTGCGTCGATTTAGGAACCGCTTCGAATATGGTGCCTCCACTGTAAAGACCTAACCGAAATAATGAACATCGCGTAAAAGTAGAACTTAAGGAACGAGCGTCGGGTTTGAATGGTTATAGCATAAACTCCATCATAAGTGGTTTGTTCTGATATGAAGGACTCGGCTGCCTCAGACAGCCGTTTTTGCTTACTGAGCAGAAAATCGTGGGATCAAACCCAGGCCTCATCATATTAAAGAGTTTCATAGTCACATTGCTTGCTCATCGTGTTTTGTTAAAATTACCGTCGTTTCGTCGGTGCCGGGTTTGAATGGCTACCACAACTCGATCATAAGTGGTGTGATGTGATATGTGGGGCTCGGTAGCCTTAGAGTGTCCGTTTTTGCTTACTGAGCAATGAGTTTTATCTCATGCCTCTCCGCATTCAAGAATCGTTAGTCGCCTTTTTGCTTCACTCGACACTGTAATTCAGCTATAGGCGTAGCCAGAGGAGGGCATGGAGGTGGGGGCAACTGCCTCCCCCTAAACTCAATAACACAAAGCATTTCATTGAAATGGCGTTCGGTAAAATGGCATTCGGCCAAATTTTCCATAGTAAATTTTTTTTGTCCCTCCCTAGCTCGAAACCTGGCTACGCCCTTGAATTCAGTGTACCGTTTGCCAAAACCTACAGTCCCACAGAGTTCGTTGAGCTTTTATAAAGTTAGCTGATCTGCTATAAAATTTGATGCAGATCTAGAAAGTTTCCAATACTTCTATGCAATTTCTTGAACTTCTATGAAAGTTCCTGAAGATCGATGAAGTACCTTGAAGCTCTACAACGTTCCCTGATCTTCTACGAAATTACCCGAATTTTAATTAAGGTCCCGAGCTTCTACTAAGTCCACCGAAATCAAATGGTTCTCTCAACTTCTACGAATTGCCCTTGACAACTACGAAATCATCTCGACTTCCCTGAACTTCTGTAAATACTTCGTTACATGAAGCTGAAATATTGTTTGCAACCTCTCGGAAACTGTCCACATTATTTGGCTGACAGAATAAAAAAAAACAATTTTTTTCTTGATCCCATTTCAGGTGACGGTAACTTTGCAGTGGTAATAAAGCTAAAGGATCGATCAACGAGCATTGAACATGCACTGAAAATTATCGACAAATCAAAATGCTCCGGCAAGGTGAGAGACTAGCACCGTTAGAGATTCATCGCGGGTGCAATTCTTAATCGCTTATTTTTGTTTCGTCCACCTACCTTAGGGTCACTACCTGGCAGCGGAAATTCGCGTCATGAAGAAGCTGAACCATCCCTACATCATCCAACTGATACAGGACATCGAAACGATGAACAACATGTATCTGGTGCTGGAGCTGGTCCGCGGTGGCGATCTGTTCGATGCCATCACGAGGGTAACGCGGTTTTCGGAAAATCAGTCCAAGATCATGATGAAGCACCTGGCGTCGGCCATGTCGTACATGCACGCCCTCAGCATCGTGCATCGGGATATCAAACCGGAAAATCTGCTGGTAAGTGCGATGGTGGGAGCGCAGAAATGGTAACTTGTTTACGACTCCCTCGCGTCAATGTAATAAAATCTTGAGACAGTGAGGCGCGCTAATTGCTTTGTGACGTCGATAGAGATTTTAACGTGGAAAAGGAAACTCGGCTGCCAACCGACAAGCATATGGGTTTACATTTTAGCACTCGCAGTAGTAAACAAACACCGGCAGCCACTTCCAATAAGCCAATTGGATGTTCGTTTGTTTTACGTGATTTGTATCTTGATTTGTTATTGCTGTATTACAACCTACCTCTCTTCTGTTTCTTTGCCTCGCCCAACCAGGTTGAATTGGACAAAGACGGCAATGTTGTACTGCTGAAATTGGGTGATTTTGGGCTGGCATGTGAAGTTACCGAACCACTGCTATCGGTATGCGGGACGCCAACCTATGTGGCACCGGAAATCCTGATGGAAACTGGCTACGGCGTGAAGGTTTGTAATATTCGCTAAATCACTACTACACTGAATCATTCCACTGCTCCTCTGTGTGTTTTGTATCTTATTCAGATTGATGTCTGGGCAGCCGGTATCATCCTGTACATTCTGCTGTGCGGTTTTCCACCATTCGTATCACCGGACAATCAACAGGAGCAACTGTTCGATGCCATCCTGAATGGTTTCTTTGACTTCCCGGCGCCGTACTGGAACAACATCGGCGACAGCGTGCGGGATCTGATAATCAACATGCTGCAGTCCGATCCGGAGCTGCGATTTTCCAGCGAAGACATTCTCGACCATCCCTGGCTCACCAGCAACGTGGTGGACGACACTCGAGATCCCAACGGGTACCGAATCATCTCCAATCTGGTCTATTAGAAGTTGCCCTCTCTTAGACATCCCCTCCCTCTACTGTGTCTGCTGCGAGCGCGTGTGTGGTTGTGAGCGTTTGTGCGTGTGCGAAAGAAGGAGTGAGTGTGTTTACTAAGTTAAGCGAATCTATACTTGTGTAAATCACAATCTGCAAATTTTATGTTCTAGATAGTCACCAAAATTTCTGTGATGATTAAGTTGCATTAGTTGTGCACGGAACCAGGATGCTTTTTCTTTGATATATTTCGCTTCCACCCAAACCGCTAGTATTTCCTTTTTCGTTTGCTTTATACTTATGTGATGAATCGACCACAACCGGGCCCCACTGCACGAAATTCTACAGCACTATTTATTAAACAATAAAATATTGTACATAGCATGATTAACATAGTCATTTTTTACCTCTATCATACATGTTATTCCCGTTTTTTTTCCATTCTCTATTCCATATCAGTACCGCATGAGATAGCAAGCGAAGAGGCAGTGATGTTTATGGATGAAGATACTCTTTAGACGAAGAAAAATGAATTAAAAATCAAGAAAACGCCAAAAAAGTGAGTTATTGTACTTGAATTGCATGTTTAGGAACAAAATCGAATGCTGCGCGTGTATGTTGTGTAGTCCTACTTATGATGGCATCGGAAAAGCGCTTGTCTATATTCAGTGTGTCTCCCGGCAGGCTACTGCCTACCGAGTAATCAAATCATTCTGTACATATAGGTAATTTAAGGTATTTATAAAGCAAACACAGTAAACCACTACACACTGCTTGCAACTACTACCTACTGCAGTTAGGAAACATTTGAAACACATCCACTGGATTGTACTATCTTGTCCCCCCGCTGCTTTATAACTAGGCTAGAGAGAAGCAACAGAAAAATGTCATCACGCGAAACCTTCACAGCTCCACAGAAAGTATATATTTGTTCGTTCGTTGTAATTATTGCTGTTGGCAATTGCAGAATTTTATTCATTTGAATAACCTTAAGCAAGCTTATTTATTAGATATTAGGTTGATGTTAGCTCAATTTATGTGTTGACCCTGGGGTGGTGGTGAGACCAGTCCAGAAAGAATCGAAAGCAGTCGGTCGGAAGCGCCCCAAATTTCGAACCTTTGGTTCTGATTTATTTCCATTAGCTTTTCCGGTAACCATGTTTCACACACACACACACACACAGAAAAAAGTTTGATATTCGTTTTGTTTGTAAGAGTCATTTTGTAGAGCACGCGTTGATAGTGTTTAGTTTATATCCTTTCCTTTCTTTTTTGTTTAAGTTTGATTCGTTAAGTCACGCGAGAAAGGAGAAAACAAACAGTCGAATATGAAGTGCATACACGTAGGATATTAGGGTATGACGAATTGTAGAAATTGGACGAAAGGTTTTTTTTTGGCTTAAAATACATGAATGCATACACACCCGTATACAAAACAATTACAAAGGTTTGATTTATTGTTTATGCTTGTTTTTGTTTCGAAATCCTTACACACGTAAAATAAGTGCAGCAGGATCTGGGCGGCATTCCTTACTGACGAAGGCTTCCATGATAATATTCTAAATAAAAAATAAAATTTGTTTATGAATAATGTAAGCAAAATAAGTTTTGAATGGCCTGAACATCCACAAGACTTCATTGAAATCTAAGAGGAAGAGGTGACAATTGGCTTCTTACTCTTTAATTTCTATCTCTATCTCAATCTTTCACCAAAAATATTTTTTTGTATGAGAATTTCGTTCGAAACGAAATACAGAATAGGGGTGTTTATCTATGTCTATCTCTATCTTACGCACATCAAATCCGCCAATCACGAGCTGGTTCAAGTTTGACAGAAAAGTGGTTCATTTTTGCTCCCGTATTGTCACCTCTTCTCTTAGATTGAAATTTACGATTAGCAGGAGATCTTTTGAATACCGTAAGACGGGGTGACATAGGGCCAACATTTAAAAATGTTTATTGATGCAAATATCTTCCTTATACCACCGGTAACCGCAAGTCAGTCCCATCTGTATTTTTATCAATTCTGAGTTAGCATCATTATACAGGTATTTTTCTATGTTTTTTGAGCTGTACTATTGAAAAAATGTGGTTTGTTAAAGACAAATTAAAAACAATATCAAGTAAAAGTGTCGCCCGTAACGTGAGTAGATCACCTTTTCGTGGTACGTTACGGGATGGAAGATCTACCACCGTTTCCTAGTTTTTACTACTTCAAACTAGGGGAAGTTACTTTTTATGACTTCTTGATAGTGATAAGTCCTCGGGTTGCCTGGACCGAGGATGATCTTGAAACAAGGAAAAAAAAAGGTGTTAGTAATGTGATTCCTTATCTTCTATTCGTTGTTCCATAGTTTGAAATGGTTTAGACTAGGGTTCTGATGCATGGTCATTATTAGAAATACTCAGAGGGAGAGATAGGCGGAGAAAAAAAAATACAATTCGGCAGCAGGGATTTCATTTTCATTTTTCATTTTATTTTATGATGTACAAGGGGGTCAGGGGCCATGTCACCGATGTGAATATTCACACCATCCATAATACACCAGGGAAGGGGAGAGGAGTGAGCAATACAGCATCTTTACCCATGGGGGTTAAAAAAGTTCTGCGAGGTATACTTATGGTAAACCAGCTGCTCAGGGATTGTAGAAAGGAAAGGGTTGGGTAGGTTTTGTATGCAAAGCGAATAAGTTATTATCGTATCGTTGAAAAATGACATCGATTACATCACACCGTCAATGAAAAAGAAATTAAAAGAGATCGAAAGAGATTATTAGTGAGTTTTAAACTGTTACCTATTAGAGATACATTTGTAAAATTATCTCCCTGTACTGAACAGCCATCTCTCTCGTCCTCCCGCCGGCCGCCTAAACGTCTGAAGGAGTGTGACGTCAAACTCCGTCATCCTTTCAATCAGCCGGAGAACGAAAGAGCGGGCAATGAGCGTCAGCGACCCTAATAAAAAGTGGGGGGAACACCATACATGAACGATACCACAAATCGTGCCACCATACCACATATTGTTGGGATGATAACTGGAATAGGTTGTTAGGCACTCCTTATGGTTATCGTTCATGCGGGTGTTTCAAAGAAATGTACATCTTATCAACCCTCTGTGCGACCCAACCCGTGCAATGTATTTAATGTTGAGAGCCTTGTGTGCTTTACCATGAGTGGTCACGGATCCGGCAATCTTCACATGACTATGCGTCCCGGTGACGACGCTTACGATCTAGCCGGTTTACAATAGGTTTTATACAAGAGTACTAGAATAGATCGGAGTATACTTACAGTTTCAACGTTCCCATGAACTCCTTGTTTACCTTCAATCCTACTTCCTTCTCTTGTTGTATTGTGTTTTTGGATATGCCACTTCCATCATCCCTCTGACATAAGATAATGGATCCTCGCTCCGGAATGTCTTCAAAACTGGGGGGGGGGGGGGATTAAAATCGCTCCTCGTGCACAACCCTTCCAGATTACCGAAAGAGCGCCCGGTGCGATTGGTCTCACCCGATATTCTTGAAATGCTTGACATTTTGAATAAAACATTGCCATTTCCAGACTTCGTGTTGTTAGTTTTCTTGAAGGGCTTGTGCTTAATGCTTGATTTGTCATTCGCTTCGTGTATCTAAGAATTGACTCTATAAATAGATAAAAAAAAAAAAAAAAACAAACACAACGCTTCCCGCCCACAAGCTGAAGACCGAGTGCAGAATCTTTGTGATGATACTTTACTTTCCAAACGTGCATATCCATAGAAATAAATCCAATTCAATAAAGGATTGATTTCCACTGCGACTAAATCCAGCATTCCTACTAAAACATCAAATGCTGTGCTTAATCATTTATTATTAGTACAGAGCAATAAACAATGTACGGTGATGATTAATCTGTTAATATGCTTTTATAAGCGGGTGCAAATGCACTTTTGGTAAGCATCAACACTGATCTGGCAACACTAGTGTGCATCTTTCCAATGTGGTAAAGATCCAGATCAGCCCTGGGACCTGGTAGCCTAATTAAACTACCTCAAGGTTTTGCCAAAGCCCAGGGTACAATTCGGCAGCAGGGATTTGTACCTAAATTATCTTGCAACCCTTGCTTCAAGCTACCATTTCACATGGCTTTTATTTTTGATTCGATTTACGTGCAAAATAATAATTGATTGCATCGCAATATTTTGCACATTTCTTGGTGTCATTAATTAACCAACTAAGGTCAATTAATAAATAGAGTTACAATATTGATTTTGATTCCAAAAACTAGTTGAATTTGAGAAGCGCACGAAACATAGAGGTAATTGAATTTCTGTTCCATTGCAATACTCTTAAATTTAATCTAGTAAGAATAAGAAATCTTTGGAAAAATTCTAATGGGAATGTTCGATTGGCTCAGATTTTAACAGTTCATTTGGCTCAAAACATTCTTTCCGCCCATCTCTCCCTCTGAGTATTTCTAGTCATTATCGG